TTACGAAAGCAAAACTCAAGGAGGCTGCTGATGGGCCTCCACCTCCTCGTCTTCCACGTCACCCCCACCTCCACCCCACAACCCCCTGCTGCAGCTTCAGCAGGATGTGGTCCCTCCCAACCTACACTACCCTGGGAACACTTACCCACTGCAAACCCCAGGGCCCCTGTGGCTCTATTCTGCTCTTCCCACAAACCTGGTGAGCCTCTCTCCACCCTGCCCAGACCTGTCACGATGGCTGAGATTTGTTTGGGGGTAAAAATACAAATGTCCCACAATCATAAAGTGTCACAGCTGGAAGGGACCATGGAGATCATTCTGACCAACTCCCTCCCTTCGTAGATGAGGAAACTGAGGTCCAGGGATGTATAGGGACCTGCCCCAAATCATATGCTGGGTTTGTGGCAGTCTACTTTTACAAGGCATTCCTCTCCCATTTTGCTCTCTTCTGAAGTTAGACAATGTCTGTGTGAGCTGGGTACTTTTTTCTTTCTTTTTCTTTTAAAAAAAATTTTATTGGAGGATAGTTGATTTACAATGTTGTGTTAGTTTGAGGTGTATAACAAAGTGAATCAGTTATACATATACATATCTCCACTCTTTTTTAGATTCTTTTCCCATATAGGCCATTACAGAGTATTGGGTAGAGTTCCCTGTGTGATACAGTAGGTTTTTGTTAGTTATCTGTTTTATAGCTGGGTACTTTTTTCAATCACATGTGACAGAAAACCTACTTGAAAAAGCTTGAGGGAAAAAAAGAGAATAGAATTTGTTGGCTCATCCCTAGAGCTGGGGTGGGGGTGGGGTGGCTAGGTCCACCTGAATCACATGGCCTCGGAGTTGGGAAGGATGGACCCTCAGGGAAAAAGGAGATGCTGTTATCAGGAGGAGGATACTCGGTGGGGCAAGTGAGAGATGTCCTTTACAGCCCACCACTTGGCTGCCTCAAATTCCCATATAGACTTCTTTTCCCACATGCACACTTTACCACGTACAGCCTTAAACACACTTGCCAAAGGGGGATAGCTGAAGTCTCATCCATCTACTTCTTGCAGCCATTCTGACTGCACCCGTTTGTGCTCTCTTCAGAGTTCTCCCTTGCCCACTGTCCCTCTTTGATCTCTAATATGGACATGGGGGACTGCTTCTCCTTATGCCGCTTTAACAACCCATTTTCTAGGTTTTGGTTTGGGGGTCTCTAAGCATTGTCTTAGAGCTTCTGTTGACCATGCCTGGACATTCTCTGGCAACAGGGCTGCCACGGATAGTTGCCCAGTTTGTGCACTGCACAAAGGTATTCTGCTGAGGACAAGGGATGGTGTCTGTCCAGAGTGGGAGGGGTGCCTTTCTCCATTACACATAAAGGCTCCCCTGGGCTAAAATTTATTGTCTTCTGACAATACAAGTACTTTAAAAGCTTAGTAAGTCCACCAGTTAGAATGCTTTTTACAGCAACAACAGAAATCCCAATTAATGAAAAGAAAATGAATATTCTTTCATATTATATAGTCCGAAGGTGGGGCAACAGACTTGACAATATTCGAGAAAGGTACCTCCTTCTCAAGAGTGGGGAAATGTTTTCTAGAAGCTTCCTCACTGGCCTCCCCTCACATCTCATTGACAAAACTGTGTCACGTGCCCACCTCTAAACCAATCACTTCACTTGCAAAAGAGAATGAGATTCCTTGAAGATTGTCTTAGACCAATCTTAGAATTTATCCCTAAGCTGGGAATGGGGTGACTTTCCTGAGGGTTGACACCTGCATTCAATCTGGGTTTGCTCAGCCAGCAGGAAGGAGAAAGGGATGCTGAATGCTTGTCCACGTGGAAACAGCAGGTCTTTCGTCTATTTGCACTCAGGCACTTACCCAGTGACTTGTCCTTGAATCTAGATGCCGGCCTGGTGGTTTCTTTCTCATGCTAATAGGTCTTGGTGCTCTGCCTGTTCCCCCAGCTTTCAGCCCAATGGCCCTCATCCTTTGCCCTTGCTCTGGACCGATGTCAAACATACCCATGGGTAGAGAGGCACAGTTGTGGCCCTCTGCCCCAGGTTCCAGTCTAGCAAATTGGTCTTTACCAAAAGGCAATTTTCAGCTTACTGAGGTGCTTTGGAGGGACCCCAGGAATTAGGCTTAATTCCCACCTGAGACCCACATTCCTCTGCCACCGAGCTTTCAGCTTCCTGCCAGTGCTGGCCTTAATTTCAACTTGCAACATTGAATTAATCTCTTCCAACCTTGCAAGAAAATAGACTATATGACTCTTGGACAACTTAGATTGCTGGCTGGAGGCAGCAAGAGGCCCCTTGGCGAGGCAGTGCCTTCCCCCCACCCCTTTTCCAATGGTCTTGTCTTTTCTGGAAGAAATTCACAAAAGGCCAAGAGTTAGCCAACACACCCTTCAACATGTGTAGTGTGCATGAAACATTAAAAATTATAGGACCGCTTTTGATTTAGAAATAGAAAAAGAAATATTGTTTTCATAATGCAAACTAAAGAAAGGCTCTACAAAACTTTCTTTCCTAGTGGGGAACAGATTAGAGCAGCTCGAGGGGCTTCCTTGGTGGCGTAGTGGTTAAGAGTCCACCTGCCAATGCAGGAGACACGGGTTCGAGCCCTGGTCTGGGAAGATCCCACATGCCACAGAGCAGCTAGGCCCAGGTGCCACAACTACTGAGCCTGCGCTCTAGAGCCCACGAGTCACAACTACTGAAGCCCGTGCGCCTAGAGCCCGTACTCCGCAAAGAGAAAAGCCACTGCAGTGAGAAGCCCGCGCACCACAACAAAGAGTAGCCCCTGATCCCCACAACTAGAGAAAACCTGTGCGGAGCAATGAAGACCCAACACAACCATAAATAAATAAATAAATAAATAAATAAAATTTAAAAAAGAACAGCTCGAGAGCACTGCAGGGCACTAAGAGATGAGGGGGACTGAGGGATGGGTGAGACCTGGTTCCTGGTCTCAGGAAATGTCTAGTCTCATTGGGGAGACAGAAATAACACTCTAGGAACAATTAAGGAGGAATAAATATCAGTTTGTGCTCAAGAACCAAGCAGTGTGATAAACACCACTTCCCTTCCATCCCTGGCAAAATCCAGTCATTAAGACCCAGATCAAGTTTCACTTTCTTGGTAAAGTCTTCCCTGGACACTCTTGGATGAGCCCATAGTTCTAAGTCCATACCCCTACTGGTACTTTTCACTTCATATCACAGGAAATGCACTGCTCAGGTCTCCTACAGCAAGGAGAGCAACCCAGTGAGTGTCTTTTATGTTTAATCCTGTCTTGGTGACAGCTTCTTGGAGACCTGTTGGAGAACCAACATGTTGGTTGGTTACTTCTGTCTTTCCCGCTAGACTGTGAGCTCTCTCAGCGCCCTGACAAGTCAGTGGGGAGTATCACCGTGGTATGATGTGGCCACACTTCCCACGGGCTGTTCCCAGCTAGTGACTGAGCACAATGCGGCACTAGTACCAGCATTCCTATAGGACGTAGGGCTCCCTGAACTGCAATGTTGGCTCCAAGATTCAGAACTGCACTGCTGCCTGAGTTCCTCCTGCCCAATCCTCTCCCGGGTGTCAGACCTGCAACGAGGTAAGGCTCTTCTCTCTCCCCTTTATCCTTCATGGATGTGTCTCCCCATGAATCTCTTGCATGCTTAATCCTGTCTTGTTGACCCACAGCTTCTTGGAAAGCCTGAGAGGACACAAGTTAGTTGGTTACTTCTGTCTTCTCCATTAGACTGAGTTCTGTGAGATCAGGGACCCACCCGTCTGCTTCGGGCATCATCTCAGGGTGGAGCACAGGACCTGACCCAGAGGATGAATGAGCAAAGAGATGAACATTCAGAAAAGGGGCAGGTAGGTGAGAGAGAAAGAAGCCAGAGGAAGCTTCAGGGAGGTGGTAAGCCTTGCCTGGGGTCTGGAGGGCAGGAAAGGCTGCCAGAGTAGAAAGGAACAGTCTTCATGGAGGCTCAGTATCTGTTGAGGATGGATTCAGTGTTTCATCATCTTCCCAGAGCTATGCTCAGGAGAGAGTTGTGGGTAAATGTAATGGGGTCACTCTGCCTTGGCATAGGAAGGTTGGACCATAGGAGGTGGGCTAGGGAGGCAGAGGGAAGAGATGGAAACCAGAAAGGGCCGCCTTCGTTGTTGGCAGTGCCCAAGCCTGAGGCCCTGACCCAGAGCAGGGCCCCCAGATGCTGCTGGGGAACCGCTGGGGCCCTGGTGGATTAGGGCGGATTTGTGTTAGATGTCTCTGCAATGAGGTCAGCATCCAGAGCCAGAGTAAATTCCCCGTTGTGAATTCCAGTGTCTCCTATACAGTGTGCAGTCCCAACAGGGTTCTGGCCCTGGTTCCCACCACCGCACTTTCTACTCAGAGGACATCTGGTTACAGTTCCCATCAAGGGCAACCCTTGATCCCGGAGCCCTAGAGCAGTGGGGGTGGAGGGAAACTTCTGCTTCTGTGCTGTGGCCTGATTCCCACAAGGCCACCGAGACTGGTTAAGAGTGGGGCTGGGAAGTTTCCTTCACGGGGTTGTACCCTAAAGGTCAGGCAGCCCTGGACAAAGCCCGTGTGGTGAGGAGCCAGGAAATCTGGGAGCTGGCTGGGGTCCCAGAAGGTCCCATCCTGCTCTCTCATAGGAACAAAAGAGCTGGTGCTCAGGGAAATGGGAGAAGAGGACACCTCACATGAGGCTGCAGCTGGTGTGGCCACTCCAGAGTCCTGGCTCCTTCTCCATTGCCGGGCCAGTAAACAGGACCATAGGGTCTGTGGGCTGCAGGGCTCTGGGCAATCAGGGCTCCAGCTGGGAGGCCTCAAGCCCTAGCTGACCCTCAGGCACAGGATGGCCCCTCATGGCCAGGGGTTGAGGCCTGGCTTATCTCTCCAGCTGTCCTGTTCCCTGCCACTTTATCAGGGAGAGTGGGTAGGTGTCAGAGCTTGGAACTCCCACCTCTCCCTCCCCGTGGGATAGAGCCCAGGTGCAAGTGGAAGGTCAACTCTTGGGCACAGCCAGGAGACCTCTGTCCTGGGAGAGTTTAAAAGGCCCCAGGACCTTCTCCGCCTCAACTGACCTTCCCAACTGGCTGCAGCATGCAGGGGCTGCTGATTTTGAGCGTGCTGCTGGGGGCTGTCCTTGGCAAAGAGGACTTTGTGGGGTAGGAGCATGGAGAGGAAGGGGTGCTCAGAAGGGAGATAGGGAGGACTTAACCCCCAGCCAGCATCTGGAGGAGAGGGACAGACAGACACATGGGAAGATGGTCAGAGAGGAGCAGACTAGCACATCCTGGAAGGCAGGCTGACCGGGGACCAGGACTGAGAAGGGGTCAGGTCTCTTAGGACAGCCTCTTGAGCCCTGGAGAATATCTGAGCTCTGAGGAGGACTCTTCAGAAGAGGAGGCAGGAGGAGGCCTAGCTAGCTTTAGAGAGAAAGAGTCTAAGCTGGGATAGGGACAGCAGCAGTGTCCAGAAGGTTCCGAGGAGCCCAGGCCTCCCGTCGCTAGGATCCCTCGTGCTTCCCCTGCTCAGCCCAGAGGACTGAGGCCCAGCCGCCCTCCTCCCACCTGGGGAGCACGCATAGCCAGTGGGAGCTGCTCAGGCCCTCAGTCTCCCCTCCCGCTCTGCCCAGGCACCAGGTGCTCCGAATCTCTGCGGCCGATGAAGCCCAGGTACAGATGGTGAAGGAGCTGGAGGACCTGGAGCACCTACAGGTTAGAGGATGTGGGAGCTGCCCTGAGGCCCCAGGGTACGTCTCAGGGCAGATGGGCTCGCCTCAGACCCCCTCCCACCTGGGGCCAAATGGGGCCTGGGCTCTCTCTCCCCAGCCACCCAGGAGGGAGCCATGGGACTGATCCCTGTTAGGAAGTGACTTAAACTTCCCAGTGCTAGAATCTTGCTGCCTTTGAGCATCTGAGCAAAAGAGCCCCCCACACCGCCCCAACTTCTAATTCTTCTCTCTCCCTTGCTGCCTCAAAGCCTCTCCACTCTGCTTCCTGGGCCATTTCCCTGACCAAACTGGACTTTGTCCAGCACCCAGGGATTCCCTGCATCCTCTTCCCCTAACAGCTGTGCCCCATCCCCAATTATATGGGAAATTCTGGTGCCGACACCCCGTCCCAGGCAGACCCTTTCCCAGCCCGCTGTGACAGTGGCTCTTGTCCTCCCCAGCTGGATTTTTGGAGGGGCCCTGCCCAGCCAGGATCCCCCATCGACGTCCGAGTGCCCTTCCCCAGCATCCAGGCTGTCAAAGTCTTCCTGGAGGCCCATGGCCTCAGATACACAATCATGATAGAGGACGTGCAGTCGCTGCTGGACGACGAGCAGGAGCAGATGCTCGCCTCCCGGAGCTGGGCCCGCAGCACTAACACCTTTAACTACGCCACCTACCACACCCTGGAGGAGGTGAGGGACCCCGGGGCCCCCCTCCACAAGCACCAAGCTCTTCGTCAGACTGGCAGAACGCGCCAGGGCCAGCCTGGGTGTGCGTGACATCTGCTCTGTCACCATGTGGCCTCGAGGCTCTGGGTCGTGGCTCCTCCGCATTCAGGGCTCACAGCAGGCTCGCTAACAGAGCTGCTAAGGGAGGCATCCAGGTGCCCGGAAGCCATGGAGGCAGCCTTCCCTCCTCTGCCTCCTCAGATCTATGACTTCATGGACTTGCTGGCGGCCGAGCACCCACAGCTTGTCAGCAAGCTCCAGATCGGCAGCAGCTACGAAGGCCGTCCCATCTACGTGCTGAAGGTAATGGGCACCTGCAAGTGGATGTACGTGAGCACATCTGCAAGACTGGGCACCCACATCTGTGCGTAGGCACCCATGGGTGAGCCCAGGGTTACAGAGAACACACTGTTATATGGACTCCCTGTGTAGCATAGGTGTGTGCATACCAGTACACACACAATTTAAACTTTTAGGTGACGCAAGTGTTTCCAGTCAAGTGTCACATTGTGGAAAGTATCCCAGTGTCTGGTAGTCCAGATAAAATGTTTTGTTTGTGACCTCCGACAGAGAACTATGTATGGGCATTGGAACACGGAGGGGCCCGAAAGTCTGGCTGAGTCATTATTTGCGCCAAGCTTGAGCTGAGGGCAGGAGGCAAAGCTCTGCAGGATCCCGGTCCAGACCCACTCCCACATCCCACCTGATGTGATGGTCCCACAAACAGAGCCTCAACCTGAGATACCAGAGAGCAGACAGCCTCTGGGTGGGGGTGCACTCCCCTTCAAGGAGGTGAGACAGGGCCCCAGCTGAACTCTTTCCTGCTCTTCTCATCCAGTTCAGCACTGGGGGGAACAACCGTCCAGCCATCTGGATTGACACGGGCATCCATTCTCGGGAGTGGGTCACCCAGGCCAGTGGGGTCTGGTTTGCAAAGAAGGTAAGCCTACGGAGGTGAGGGTGCTCTTGCCTGGTAGGGCATCGGTATCCAAGGCCCATAGAAGACCTGGCCCCTGCTTCCATCCAGAAGCAATGACCACAGAGGGAGGTCGAGGGCAGGCATCCATTGCTCTAGCATGGCAGATTCCTGGCCTGGCCCGCTCTGCCCCTCTGCTCCCCAACCTCCACCAGATCACACAAGACTATGGCCAGGACCCAGCTTTCACTGCCATTCTGGACAACATGGACATATTCTTGGAGATCGTCACCAACCCTGATGGTTTTGCCTTCACCCACAGCAAGGTACAGGCCTTCTCCTCTTCTTGGGGAAAGCAGGGTGGGCCTCTGTCCTCTGAGCCCCACAAGCTACTCACCCCTAATCTCAACTCCCAGAAGTTGAGAGAGGGACAAACAGACCTGTCCTCCTAGACTAGGGCTTCTTGACCTTGGCATTCTTGACATTTGGGGCAGAGAGTTCTTCATGTGTCGGGGGCTGTCCTGCGCAAGCAGCTTCCTGACTGACTCAAGCCCCCAGATGAGACAACCGAAAACATCTTCAGATATTGCCAAATGTCCAGGTTGTGGGGGACAGGACTTTCCCCAGTGGAGACACACTGCCCAGACCTTCTTCCCTGGTTCTACTTTATGTCTATGGGACAGCATGCTACCAATCAATTTTTTAAGGGGCTGGGGGCGGGTGGTTGCCACATGCCTTCCTCTTTCTGCCAGTAGAACCCCTTGGCCAAATGCCATCCATCATCTCCTCCATTTTCCTTCAGCCAAGAGCCCCCTTTGCAGAACTTCCTCCCTGACAACCAGTTGAAAGTGGCTTCTGATTCCATACTGTGTCCACACCCAGGCTCCAGATTGGGGCTCTGTGTTGATTGTGGCCTCTGTTGGGTGGCTGATCACTTTTCCTTTCTCAGAATCGAATGTGGCGCAAGACTCGATCCCTGACGTCGGGCTCCACCTGCATTGGGGTGGACCCCAACAGGAACTGGGACGCTGGCTTTGGGAGTAAGGCCCAGTGTGGTTTGGGGAGCAGGGATGGGACACCCCAGAATGGCTTCTTACTGTCCTTTGTCCTGTCATCCCCCAACCCTCTCCTGCCCCAGCAGTGGAGGCACATGGGTAATGTTGGCCTCTCCTCCAAGGTGCACAGTGAGGAAGGTGGCCCTCTGAGATCTGCTTGTCCCTTGCCTGTAAAGTCCTTCCCAATGGAACTGAGGTCTGAAACCAATCTATTGGTTGTCTAGTGTAACTTCAGCTCCTTCCCTCTGTGGTCATTTCACTGCAGGAACTGGTGTTGCTTGAGGAGCCCTTCCTACCTCCCTGGGCATGTCCATCAGCTTTGTCCAAGTTTGGCTGGGGAGGGAGGCAGGACCCCCAGCTTATAAAAGGCTTCTGCCCTTTCCTTATCCGGGGTGGGGGTGAGCCCTCCTGCATCTCAACTCATGCAAAGACCAGAAGCCATGGAAGCTACATTGCTTGGGTGTAAGGAATGCCAACTCTCCCCTCCCACAGAGGCGGGAGCCAGCAGCAACCCCTGCTCGGAAACTTACCATGGCAAGTTTGCCAATTCCGAAGTGGAGGTCAAGTCCATCGTGGACTTTGTGAAAGACCACAGGAACATCAAGGCCTTCATCTCCATCCACAGCTACTCCCAGCTCCTCTTGTATCCCTTTGGCTACAAAAGAGAATCACCTGCAGACAAGGATGAGCTGGTACGTGCTGATCCCTGCTTGCCCTCTCATCCCAAAGGCAGCTTTGGGTGGGCCTGGGTTTATCCATCAAACCTGCTTAAGGTACGAGGCCCTGCACTGTGCCTAGCACCCCTTTCTCCCATGGACCCCTGATGGCTTGAGAAGACCAGCAGGGCCGACTAGCCTTTCTGTCTGGAAAGCTGAGGCACAGGGTGGTTGAGTCACTTCTGTCACATGACAGAGGAAGGGGTAGGGGTGGACTTTGAGCTTGTACCACAAGTTTAAACTTGGAGCTGCAGGGTGACCAAAGGGCAGTGAAGTAGCAGCCAGACATCCCACAAGGTCACATCCTGCTGAGTTCCCGGGTCTGACCCTGCAGGGCCCAACAGGTTCCATGCTCTCTGCTCGGGGCCAGCTTCTGCAGGGTATGTGCTCCTGGGTCACCCTGCCAGTCCCCAGGATACCCTGGCCCTGCGGTTCTGGGGGTCTGGCACTGCTGGCCATGACAAGCAGTCTTGCTTGGCGTTTTCTCCAGGATCAGGTGGCTAAGTCTGCTGTTGAGGCCCTGACCTCTCTGTATGGGACCAAGTTCAAGTATGGCAGCATCATCACAACAATTTGTAAGTAGGTGCATTGTCTCTGTGGGTGGTCTGGGAGGAAGCTCAGCTGGCTTTCCCCGCTGGAGGAAGTGTCTCTCCTGCAGGAGGTAGCCAAGGGTTCCCCAACCTGGGAGCATGGGTGAGGAGAACAGCCCTGGCCATGCCTGACTACTGCTGGCTTGGTGGGCAGCGGGGCCCTTTCCTCATGTGAACTCTGCCTTCCTCGATACCTTCAGACAAACCCTTCAGTTCCTCTGAGAACTCTTATCTTGGGGTTAAGTTCAGCTTCATGCATGGAGCGGGTAGAGAGTTCTGCTGGCCTTTGTATTGTAGATCCCTAAGAAATTCAACTTAAAAAATACTCTTCCTCCAATGCCCTTCAGTTAGAGAACATATCCTATCTTTTCCCAGCTTACTTATCCATGCACTGCCCCTGAGAGGAGGACTGCTACATCAACATGGAATTAAGTCAACAAATGTTTATTGAACACCTATGATACACCAGGCCTTGTTTTGTGTGCTTGGGATACAGTTGGGAATAAAAATAAGCCAAGATCAGGAAACCTCCATTCTAGCCAGCCATGACAATAAACATGAATAAGGAAATGATACCATGTGTTAGGTGATAAGTGCTGGGAGAAAAAGAACTACTAGGACAGGGTGAGGGGACTCAGGAGTACTGGGGGTGGAAGCAGGGCAGGTGGACTGAAGCATAGGCCTCATTGAGAGAGTGAAATTTGGGCAAGTATTGAAGGAAAGGAGGGATGGAGCTAAGAGGCTATTTGAGGAAGAGCCTTCCAGGCAGAGGAATCTTCTAGAACAAAGGCCTTCCCGTGTGCCCTGACCTGGCGTGTATGGGAACGGCAGGAAGAGCACAGAGACCCAGTGGCTACAGCAGAGACAGGTGGCGGGGATGGCAGCGGGGGTTGAGGTTGCAGTGTTCAGATCCCATTGAGCCCTGAAGAGACACAGCAAGCTTGTGGCTGACAGGAGGTGAGAGTACTGAAGAAGCAGGGTGCAGGGACACACCACAGACTTCCTGCCCCAAGTGTCCAGTTCTGGGGGTGAGTGAGTCACAGTCTCACCTGGGGCTGGCCTTACTTTTGGACTCCAGGCCTTCTTTGGAAACTGTTTTAACCCTGAGTCAAAAGGTTTTTGCTTCGTTCAATATTGTGGAGTTAAATTCTGATATGCAGCCACCTCCCTCTCCCCTGCCCGATTCTGCAGCTGCTTTGATACGCACTGCAAATCTGTCTGCAAAAGACAGACGAGGGGCTTTTGCTTTGACTCTGACCCTTGCACTTTCCCCCTGCAGACCAGCATCTGGGGGACAGTCCTGGTTACCCAAGTGGGCAACTCTGGTATATGTGGGGGCTTGACCCAAGTGGCTGTTAGATGGAGGTGGCTTTCAAAATCATGGGAGCTTCCTTGCATGACCCAGTGAGAGGAGAACCATTGCTGGTCTGCCTCTCTGGGCCTCTTGGACTAAGACCCTTCAGGGGAGCTTCTTGGGAGGAAGCCAGGCTGCTTGGTCAACAGATGCTGACTCCAGTCAACAGTGCACGAGGCTCTGGGCTTTGGACCATTAGCCCAGCCCATGCAAATGTTTTCAAGCGAGTGACCTTTGTTCTGCCGGTCTGCTCCTGCCCCAGACCAAGCCAGTGGAGGCACCATTGACTGGACCTACAACCAGGGCATCAAGTACTCCTTCACCTTCGAGCTCCGGGACACCGGGCGCTATGGCTTCCTGCTGCCGGCCTCCCAGATCATCCCCACGGCCCAGGAGACATGGCTGGCACTTCTGACCATCATGGAGCACACGCTGAATCACCCCTACTGACCCGGCCCTTCAGCGCTGTCTTCCTCCTCCTCTCCGTCCCCACCCAGGCAGCCAAATAAAGTTTGAGTGTACATGGACCAGAATGGGGCTCATGTGTGGGAATGCATGTGGCACGTCTGCCTTTTCAAGCTGTGGCAGAAGTGATTTAGTTCCTGCAGGTCTCACTGGAAACGTGTGGGTAGTTGGACTAGATGACCCTTAAACTCCCCTGCATTCCAAGGTCCTGTGAAGTTGTATCCAAGTGGCATCTGTTTTAATTAGACCACCCTGAGCTCAGCTCGTCAGTGGGGTGATTTGTTCATACCTTAGGAGCAAGCAGCAGCCACAGCTGCTAACCAAATGCCCGGCACCCCGCAGTGGTGAGGAATTCAGCTTGTACAATAGTGTAGCTGGTTGGATCCATTCATCTACAAAAGCAATAACCCTGAGTACAAACTAGAATAATCCTGGTGGCCAGTGTTGTCCCAAATCAATGTTGCAGCCAGGTAAAGCAAATTTCTATAGAGCAAAGTATGGTCTCCCACTCCTAATTAAGTTGGAAGGACACAATTGGGTTAAATGGAATCATTTACTGAAGATAAAGAACAAACACCAATCCCAGGGCATTTTATTAATTGAAGTGTATCAGGAAGACTTTGCCTTTAGAGACAGAAGTAGTTTACTTCTCACTGCCCCATCCTTTCTAGCATCTCCTGCTACATTGTCTCCTCTTCCACTCACCACCACTCATTATCGTTAGCAAAATTTCTCAAACGTAAGGCTCTCCTCTCCTTCCCCATACCCTCCACAGCTCCTAGAATTTGGCTTCCCTCCCTTGGCTTGGTGATTCTGGTGGCTGTGATATCACACTTAGTGGCTAGCACCACAGCACATAGCATATATCTCAACTTTTTTTCAAAGCAAGAATCTACATTCCGTTTCTTCCAAATCTCTTAAGGTGTGACTGTCAAGCAGGGGGTTCCTCCCACTGAACTTGCTGGGAAGTGGATGGGGGGTGGCTTGGTAGCTTCCCAAATAGGGGGGCTGGGGTAAGGATGGCAGCCTCTCCCTATATCAGTCAGATGAAGTATCACAATGCATCCATCTTCACTGACTTAAAATCTGTGTCTTTTTCACATAAAATAGCCTGAAGATCAAACGATTTTTTCTTTTTTTTTAAAGGCCCATTGGGGAATTTTCATCTTGGAGGTTTTTTATAATTTTTAATTTTCTAAAATTGAGGTGTAGTTGATTTACAGTATATATTAGTTTCACATATACAATATAGTGATTCAAAATTTTTATAATTATACTCCATTCATTTTTTTATTTTAATTTTTTTTTGCTACCAAACATTCTAAAAAACAAAAAGAATGAGGCTGACTATACATATAGTACACATAAAGTTATACATATATAAGTTTATGAGGCAAGGTTAAATGGTGTTTCAGTCTTTACAGAAGGATGATCTAAAGATTTTATGACACTTCCTTCAAGTTATCTTTTGGGAACCATTTCCCTTCAATTTATGTAGATAAGCTGAAACCCACTGTAATGGCTCAGTTTGGGCAAGTAAAAAAAAAACGAAGCTGATCTTACTGTTTAATAAAGACTGATAAGTGAAAAAGTATTAAGTTAGCAAGACAATATATCGTTTTACGAAACTGGATTACTTAGGCTTCAAGGGTAGAATTGCTTAATTTAAAAGAAACTGTACTCCCTGATGGCAGAGGCCACTTGATTTGGCATTCAATCTCCAAAACCATCAACAGTACTTGACATACAGATACCCCATAAATATTTGTTGAATGAATGTTCTCCACATATACTAGAGAACTTATAAATTTTATAATCTTTATTTTGTAGGCTTGCAAGTCATTTTGAATTTCCCTGAGTTGTAGTTTAGAAAGTAAGGCTCTGAGCAAGTAAGAGTCTTAAGAAAGCTGAAAAGACAGGAGTAAAGCACCAGAATGAAAATTCCATGAGGGCAGGGATTGTGCTGTTTTGCTCAACACTCAATTTCTACTGGTTGGCCAAGTACATGACACAGAGTAGGCACTTAATAAATGCTTGTTAAATGGAGACACGGAAGTCATTAACATTTCTTTTTCTATTTTCAACTACAGGAAGAACTTTCCAGTTTGCAGATACATATTTTTACAGATCTATGGGTAAAAACATTTTATTTTATAAATAAAATCATAAAGCTAAAAGAAACAAAAATTTTAGAAAATAATGTGGTGTATATGAAAAAGTATTAATAACCTTGAGGGGAAAAAAGCTCTGAGTGATTATTTTTTGTACATTAAAGAAAAATATATTATTTTTCTCCCAACAGATTGACAAAGAATAAAAAGACTGACAACTCAGTATTATCAAGAGTACGAAGAAATGAGACCTGCCATATACTGCTGGTGGGAGGATAAATTTACACGACCTTCCTGGAGGGGAATTTGGCACTATAAATAAAAAATTTCAACGTATTGACACTTTGACCCAGTAAGTCCACTTGGAGGAATTTATTTTATAAAAATATTTTGAGAAGTTCAAATAAACATATATACAAGGCTGTAATAATAAAAAGTTAAATTAAAAGGAAAAGAACCTAGATAGATACCAGTATTGATATGGGTATTACCCATTTACACAATGGAATATCGGGAAGCCATTGTAGTCTGTGTTGATATGGAAAAATGGTCACAATATACTGGGCAAAAGAAGCTGGTCACATGATGGAAATATTCTAAAACAGGATTGTGGTGGTGCTTTCTCAACTCTGTACATTTACTAAAAATCACTGAATTGTATCCTTAAAATGGGTGAATTTTATGGCATGTAATTTATATTTCCATACAGTTGTTTAAAAAAAAGCAGGCTACAACATAGTATATTGAGTATGAATCTCATTTTTGTTTGAAAAACGCACACCCACTATGCCTGGAAGTAGATATTCCCCAATAATAATAATTGTGGTTACCCCAGGCAGCGGTGGTGGTTTTCCTCTTTATACTTTTCTGAATTTCTTGCAATGAGTTTGTATAATCAGGGGGGTTAAAAAAAAGCTATTTCAAACACACCAGATTACCTGTGGGTAAAGTTATCTAAGATCAACTTATTATCAAAATCAAACATCTAAATGGCCATCTTAATTTGTGCCCAGATTCTTTTTCATAATTTGTCTAAACTCATTTCTTCTGCTGTTGCCCAGAACAAGGTCTTATTTTTGGAAAAGTTTATACTCCAGATAGAGCTGGAAGCAAGTGTTTCTACCAAGGGCAGGGTACTAATGTCTCCTGGTTGGGGGCCATTCCCTAAGCGCTCTGTGGTAGCTCAGATGACAACTCCCAAGAGCGCTTGCTGCTCACTTTCAGTTCCCGCAGCAATCTGGGGAATTGATTATGCTAATGCCTATTCTCTAGGACTTTTCAAAAATCTTTATTTTTAAATGAACTCATTTTACTTTGTTCTTAGAGCATTATCTATGGTTCTCAATGTGGCCCGTGGGCCATTCGTGGTCCATAAGAATCCTTTGGGTGGTCTTTTGAATTAACACTAAGATATGCATGTCTAGCTTTCTGGCTTTGGCCTGAAGTTAAAATTGAAATGTCATTGAATACAATCCAGATATGACCTCACTGGTCCCTCATCCAGTACAGGGCTATTCATCATCTCAGCAATTGTTTTGCAAGGGCAAGTGGGACTAGGTGGATTTGAAGATGCAGACGAATTCTTGCTCTAAGGGCTCTAAGGACAGAAACATCATTCTGTGAACACACTACGACCCAGATGCTCCTTACAGGAAACTGATATGACCAACCAAAACATTCAAATTGGCCAGATGAAGGAAGAGCTCTGAGAAAGAAGCACAGAGCACCCGTCAAATCTGAAAAACTGTCAAAGGGTAATGAATTCTCCCCAAAGCTTTCAGGATCCACATTAATTTGGCAACTCAAACTGTGAGCATCATCTAACGACCCCAGAGGTGAAGACTGCCAAATGTTTACTGCCCAACTAAAAGAAAATTAGAAGTCTTCTGCTTAACTACCATGGTATGTTCGGCTACATTTTTAGAAGAGTGCGGTGGAATGAGTGCTCTGCTAACATGGACTGAGGCACAGAGGTTTGCTGCTGCTTCCTCCCATGAAGCCCAGGCCTGCGGCCATGAGCCAATTCACACAATTTATGTTTCAGCCTAAATCAGAAACATCACCACAAAGGAAAGAGAAATTCAGACACAAATCATATCAATATGGTTTTATTGGATAGTTCAACCATCAGGAAAACAGCCTTTTTCCCTACAATCTAATGAAAAGTTTGTAACTCCCATTCCTTAAGTGATACCTCATTAAGAAACAAATCTCACAAACCCTGGAGCACCTGTCTTCTAGATAGGTCACCAGACACAGACAGTGGAATGGTCCCAGGAGCAGATGTTTCAGTCCCTGAATTCCTCACCTTTTATGCAGGCAGAGGAGGAAAGCTTTCAGTGGAATCTCAGGTGACAAGGAAGGAAGGGAAGCCAACAGCCAAGGGAAAGTTACTTTTTTTTTTTGCGGTACACGGGCCTCTCACTGTTGTGGCCTCTACCGCTGCGGAGCACAGGCTCCGGACGCGCAGGCTCAGCGGCCATGGCTCACGAGCCCAGCCACTCCGCAGCATGTGGGATCTTCCTGGACCGGGGCACGAACCCGTGTCCCCTGCATCGGCAGGCGGACTCGCAACCACTGCGCCACCAGGGAAGCCCAGAAAGTTACATTTTTGTTAGTGAATTGGAGGTGTAGCCAGGGAGAGAGTGGCTGTACCCACCCAGAGTGGACAAGCACAGAGCAGAATGGTTTCTCAACCTTCCAGCTCAGTGACACAGGGCGAGTTGCTTAATTTCCATTTGACCCTCAGTCTCCTCACCTGAAAATGGGGGTGCCTACCTCGTAGGGATGTTCTGATAGTCAAATGAGTCAAAACATAAAATGAAGAATCTAGGAATACTGCCTAACACATAGTAAGCTCTCCATAAATGTTTGCTAACATTATTACCTGGAAATCTTCAAGAT